TTCATTTTGTCAGGAATGGGGAGAATTAATTAAATTGATATAAAGACATGTTAGCGTCCCTGCACTTCAGACCTTCTTTACACAGAAGGCTTACTGCTCCAGACTGTGAGTCATGGAGCTGTGACTCAGTCACCTCATATGACAACTGCAGGTTCAGTTACTTGTTGACAGAACAGAGGAAAGCAAAGATGTGCATTTTTAGTTAGTAGGATTTACAAAATATAGTTTTCACAATTACATATATGTTCTGTATACAATCAGCAGATTGTGTTTGTTCTGTTTGAACACAGTTTTTCTCGAGGAAGGGACAGGACCCTGGTCATACTGAAGACATTACAGTAAACAGAATGTCAAATTAACACAGCTTTAGGGCTATTCAGTAGTGTGTGTGTGCGTGTGTGTGTGTGTGTGTGTGTGTGTGTGTGTGTGTGTGTGTGGTATCTGGAGATACCCTAGGAGACCTTATCTGTGGTAGAAAATCACATTTAATTGTGTTTTTGTTCCAGTTGGGTATGTTCAAAGACGGAGTTTAGACAGATCTAAAAGCTGATTACTACAACACAACCAAGAAATGCAACAATATGATATGATCTCTTAAATTAATGAGGGAATGCTGCGAACCTGTAAATATTTTGCACATCACTTCAGGTGTTCAGCATGAGTCCAAAGCAGTGGTGGAAGAGACAAGATATTCAGAGCCTGCAGTCAGGCAAAGGAGCAAAGCCGCTCTGAAGTCCTGAGTCTGGGGACCAAAGATGGAAAACCTTGCTTGAGGGCAGCCCTGCTGCTGATGCACAGCAGAGCTTGTTGGACTGATCAATCTTAGAAATAATTATATTCTACCAGCTGAGCTTATTATCACAATTGCAGCTATTCAATTTAATTCTCCAATCAGAAAAAGCATGTTTTATAATGTAGATTTGGTCATTACACAGTTCACAATTATTGTTTTGTTTTGCATCTGATCATCCTGGTGGAACAAACCAGGGATAAGGATAAACAGTAGAGAGCATAAGATGAAAATTTGTAATTACCAAGCTTCAAACGACAAGATAAAAGCTACAGAGTAAACACATTTTCTAAAAGAGCTAAATCGTCTAAACACAATGAAGTGCAAGAGACAAACTTGCATGTCAAGTATAATTCCAGGCATTATTAAAGGAATATTTTAGACATTCAAGAAAATATACCTATTTGTTTTGTATCCAAGAGTTAGATAAGTGCCACCCTCTGTCTGTACAGTAAATGATGAAGCTGCACATGGTTGGCTTATTTTAGCATTAAGACTGAAAGCAGGGAGAAACAGCAAGCCTGGCCCTGTCCAGAGGTAACACGTCTGGCACAGAACACTCCAGGCTCACAGACAGTTTAGTTTGCAGCCACAAAGTCCCCCCTTTGATGGGTAAATATAAATCAACACTTTATTTGTCTGTATATATTAAGGTTTGAGAATGAGAAGATGGAAACCAAGATGATGTCACTTTACTACCATCTTCTGGACCAAAGGAAAAATAGCAGCCTGTCTTTTGATTTTCTAAATTATTACACACTTCTTACACAAAAAGAAGTTATACAGCAAAAAGTGATGAAATGGAGATATTGACTCACTCGTTTTTGAATACTTTACACAAGGTAATGTTTGATGGTATGTGGTCACAGTTCAGGCCATCACAGTCATAAAGAAACTTTAGACAAAAACATTAAAGGGGGGGGGGGGGGGGGGGGGCAGTAAAGTTAAATGGATTTTCTTGTTAATATGTAACACAGTATGCAAAAATAAACCGTTTTTATTTTTTTTGGTGATATCTTAAATTAGATTTTCCTCCAATAAACCCTATGGAGCTCAGGATTTTAAAGTGTATCTCCGATTACACTGTTTAGACACTCCAATCTCCACTATACAGTTATAGAAAATACTGTTACCATTTTTAAAGATTTTACAGAACTCGTTGGCCATATCAGGACACTGTGTTACCTGCTCTTTGGTCCTCAGGCAAGAGGATGGGCTGAGGGTTTTATATGTGTTTATACGGCCCAATATCAATCTCCACCCTCACGGACTCACGCAAAGTCCGTGAGGGTTTAGGGCTGTCCTGCTGTCAAATCATTGAGTGTTTGAGGGCTCTCTGGCAGACATTTTGAGCCCTTTACCCTTTCCGTAAGTCAGCATTAGATGCAGACTTAAGGGAACCCACAAATCATTGCAATGTGATGTTAAACACGGGGTAACCAGTGGACGTATGAGACGTAAAAAAAAAGGTAAACAAAGAGGACGGCTCACGTGTGTTCAGCTTGTCATAATACATTTACTCAGAAACATTAAGGGTTAAAGATGGAACAAATAAAAAAAACATGAAATCAGAGGATATTTATTTATTTATTCATCAAATATTTGATTTTGTCATTGAAGCTGTTTTGACAAAAATGAGTAAATATATTATATGAAATTACCTCTCATCTTGTGAGGAAAGAGCCTGGAAGACTTTCAAATCAGGGAGTACAAAAATAAATTGTACATGCACAATTGTACATCATATTTTTTGTTGTTGTCATGGAAATTTGATATGTTGCAGCAAAGTGCTGTCCCATTCGTATTTATACCATTTCAAGCCCTCACAGCCTCTCACACTCAACCACTTACCAGACGTCAGTAAGTCCTTGAGGGTTCAGGCTTTGAGGCTTTAGGGGGGACATTGGGACTCTGCCTACTTCTTGGTTCCATCATGTTTGGGGAGATGATGGGGAGGAGCATATGTCCGATTTTAATAAAATATGTTTTCATGAAGCTGGGAGTTGCATAGATGTTTGGATCTTTATTTGCCTTTACAATTTGAGAATGAAATTGTATACATTGTAAATATCTGTTTGGCAAAATTATCTTTTTAAATGTATGTACTGTATTTACAGTATGAAGTGGTTTCACCAAGTGCTGGTTTAGTCCACTCCTGTTACGTGCAGTCTATATAACGGGTGTTTGTGTGTCGTGGTGGCTAAAATAAGTTTTACTGACGTCCCCGTCCACAGCAGTACGTTACTTTGCCCCCTTTTTGCTTCTCCAATCCAGGGACGTGCCAACCGTCATCTGTAGGTAGCCTACCTCAATAAACCCCACTTCGTAAGACCCAGGCTATCCCTTAAAGTCAACCAGTCTGCCAATGTGGGGATGGTCTGGATATTTGGATTTGGACTTTGAAACAACTGTGCTGAAAATGGTTTGTCATTGTTAATTATTTCAGTCAGTCACTATGGTGACATCTGTTGATCAACCCTTGTTACTACATTTGAATGGAAAGACTAAATGGAAGACCTCATGGTGAAAGTGTGAGCCAGAATGTCAGAGAATTTAAGTGTAATCCTAGATATTTTGTTGGACGAAATGTATGTTATAGAAACTGAGTAAAGTCCAACTTCAAATTTTGTGACAGGTTTGCAGGCACATCCCATCTTACACCACATGTCCCAGATACATTATGTGACATGACAAGGCCTTGTGACTTTTGCCATGTTAACTAAATTGACATTTTGCTCTAAAAGCTGATGCTGTGTTGAGTAGTTTGCTTTGAGCAAAACCTCACTCGGCTGAAAAATCATTTTACCTCCTCATTCATCCGAGTATAGGCGTATATAACTGATCGTAAAATAATACTGATTATTACGTGTGGTAGGGCTATGCCTCCCAGCATTCTGGTTGTTTAGGTCTAAATCTGCTGTGATATAGCTTTCATCAGTGCTTGCCTTTAGGGCTTGTTTCCTACATATTTATGACCAAATATGCATTGTTAAGAGAATGATCAAAAGATCAATTGAGGTTATTTTCTTAGACTTGATAAATCCCCTCCAGAGCCACAGAATATTCGTCATGATGACTAAACTGACTTAGATGTATCTCTTTAAATGTTTAAAATCTGTGGAAATCCACTTTAAATCTTCAGAATAGCTGAAGTTGTTTTTAAGATACTTCGATGACAGTTACCTTTATTTTACTTTTTTTACACTCACTTTTTATAAATGAAATAAATCAATATTTTCTTTTGCATCTGAAGAGCCTGTCTAGTCCTTTTTCTTTATGATGGATCTATAAAATAAAGGATTAACATGAACCATAATTTAGCAGTGCAATATAGTCATTATCATTAAAAATAAATGACGTTAGGACACCATCTGCACAGAATAGTGTAATTTCGTCAGGTTCTGGGCAAACACAGACAATGGACAAAAATCTAAATTGAAGACATAGCTTGCCAATTAACTTAAAACTTCTTTGTTTCAACATTTCTGGAAGTGGAAAAGTAAGTAAGATGTTTATCAGTCTCAATAAGAAGTATGCATCACAGGTGAATCAAGTGGTCCACATACACTACACGGACAGAAGATCATGTAATTCATTAGTTGAGAATCGGAAAGAACACAGGGAAAGGGAACATGAAGGCCCATACGTGATATATTATGCTACAGCCAGACAAGAGTTTACATCAAGAGGAACTTAAGGATAAAAAACAATGATGACTAAATTAATAATGGAAATGAATCCATTCAACTTTACACTATAGCCTACCTGTATTTAAAGTTCTTAGGTGTATCTGATTTTATTTTTCCTTTGGAGAGGAAGAAACAATGTGAAAGTAAGCTTGGGTTATTTTTTTATATTTTGTTTATACTTATATGTTAATGTTATTACATTTTTTTTCTGTTGTCATCGGACTAGAGAGGGGCTTTGTGTGTACATACGTCATACTATTTTTTTATTATTATTATTTATTATTATATGTATGAATTATGTCACTGTATGACACCCAAGAGGCCAAACAGAGACATAAGTGGCTGCCTACTCAGATAGGGCTGCTGTGTGATATCAGGTAAAATCACTAGTTACATGAAAAATGATACAAAATGGAAGGCTATGCGTGATAGTCCTGCAGTATGAATATATCATGCTTACGCTAATGTTAACGTACTGTACTGCTATTTCTGCAATCCTCATTTTGGTCTCATAAACGCTGTTTTGCGTCTCGCAGTCGGCTGCTCTCGGTTCCTTCTCGTGTCTCATCGGTATTCCTGGGCAATCCTCGGCGCGCGCCCCCAGTCCAGCAGCAGCAGTAGCGGCACGCGCATCTCAGGAGAGAGGACAGGGCATCTGCAGAGCTCGAGACGCTTCTGAGCGAACCTGGAATGACGCCATGAGCTCGCATCGTGTGTGATGAAGGTAATGTTCTGGTAGGAACCTGCTGCGGCGTCGCGCGAGGAGCCTGAACACGACCATGAAGCTGCTGCTTGTGGTGACACTCTTATGGCGCGAGGCGTTGTGCGGATCTCCGAGCGTCCAGATCGGTAGGATTCTCTTCTCTGCCATCGCCCCACCGTTCTCATCATCACCTCTCCCGTTCATCCGTCTGTCTAAATTTATTCTCACCGTTCGCTTTTCTCCTTCACCCGTTCATCGTCCCCCGTGTCTTCCTCCTGCTAAAATGGGCCTATCTCATTTCTGTCCTCCTTGTGCCGCTCTTAGTACCGAGAGGCCTCCTGGCTGTACGGCGGCTGCTGCAGTGTTCTAATTATGTCAACATTTTCATCTTTTGTATTTGTGTATGTGCTTGTATGCGCGTTCATCTTAACTTAGGAGTGGAGCGTGTGGTGCGTGCATATGTGCGGGGTTTGTTTGTCTTCAAGGTGTTGCTTGCACAGCAGACTGGCACACGGCTAAAACCAGGTGAATCCACAATGATTCAAATTCGACACTTCAGACGTATTTCCTGAGCTCCATTCTTTGTTGCACTGCATACAACCCCTGAAACAATGTGTTGGATTTTCAGCCCTATGTCATTGCATTCAAATATATTCATAGTCTATATAGACGCACAATTACTTTAATTTTCTATTGCTAGAATGAAAATATTACATTTAGTCAGCCATCAAAATTATTTCACAATATTTATTGTGGCGCTTTTTCAGTCATTTCACATTAAAGGGGTTGTCAAATGTCATTTATTTTCTCATAAAAATACCCAAATTTATAATTAATTGATCACATTATAAAGTATTGTGTCTCCAAAGCCTTATTCCTGTGTGCCATGAACCCCATGAGTCCAAAATCTGTTAATACGACTTTGTCTCCATTGAAGATGTATAACAGATGCGGACCGTATCTTTTTATTGGATACAGCTGCAGCGCATATAAGGTTGCCAGCCATTGACTTGTGTTGGGCCAAACTTATATAGAACTATTGCTTCACGCCAATCAAATGAATAAAAAAACACCTCACAAAGGATTTAAAAACCACTGGTACAAATCAAATAGAAATAAAATGCTATTGCGACCTACCGAAGTACTATGTATGCCTGGCATGCGTAAGAGTTGCTCGCAGAGAACCCATGGGTGCACAGCCGTTTGATTATAAATCAGTCATGAGAGTCTACAGCAGGGGTCAGTCATAGGCGGACCGCGGTCCGGGTCCGGACCCAGACGCCGTTGTATCTGGACCTGGACCTAAAACCGATGGATAATTGAGAATTATTACATTTTGACGGAGCACTTCTATTTTAACAAGCACAGCTTTTCTAGCCTTTACTTTACTCATTCAGCGGTGCAGGAAACACACCCACCAATTACATGTGTTGTAAATCACATCACGTGATGCTACTCAGCCAATCAAATATGTGTATTCCAATAAGGATGTGGTCAGAGGGACCAGAGCCTTTAACCAAGAATGGACCGACTCTTAAATGTCCATTCTTCCCACTGGCAGTTTGAAACCAGTGTGTCTCATATGTTCAGAGACTGTGGCGATTATTCAAAGCAGCAATGTGAAGCGACGCTAAAGAGACAAAGCACAAATATTTTGAGCAAACGTACCCACTCACATCCGAAAAGAATTCACAGAAAATAAATCTAAGAGCAGAATATGATCAGAATCCTAACGCATGAATTCACTCCCCAACAATGATGTTACCAGAGAGGTAATGGAGCTGAAACAAGAGGCTTCAATAACCACGGACAAAGTCCCTGCACACAGAGTTCTCTTTTTAGAAGATGAGAAGAATATAATATGTTTTTTTATATAATATTGTGTTTTTTTTGGTTGACATCACTTCACACCTGAATGAACTGAACATAAAGCTGCAGGGCAAAGACAATTCAGTTTAATTAATTTTTAAAGTACTTAATTTTAGGAGTTAAAAGCTTTCTGTTACGTATTTTATTTTTTAAATCCAGCCCTTATTTTACTTGAAACATTTACTTTTTATTTGATTATGTATTATTTATAATTCATCCAGTTAAATTTGAAAACTGATAATAAATATTGTTGATTATTCAATTGAACTTTCTTTTATTTGATTTGACAGTCAGTTGTGGACTACATACAGACGTTAATACAAGCTAGGCTGCTTCAATATGGGACTAAATCATGTCATCGATATTACTGTGATGCTCCGGACCTTTGCATGAGGACATTCTCTCTAACTGGACCTCGTTGAATTTTAATTGAATACCTCTGGTCTACAGCCATGGTAGTGACTCTGTGAGGCTGCTCAGTCTTGTTTTGAGCTAAATGCTAACTTCAGAATGCTAACCACACCCAAGAAAATAGCATGCTTACTTTACTTACTTCAGGTCAGTGTCTGTGCTTGCTAATATTTGCTAGTTAGCACTAAACACAAAGTACAGCCGTGGCTGAGAGGAAGGTCATTAGTTTTGCAACTATTTGAAGATGGCCATATAAAAAGCTAAATGATTCCCAAAGTTATTGCAAATCGTCCTATGGGCAACATGAATGTCTACACCACATTTATTGGCAAGCCATCCCATAGTTGAGACTTTACAACTGAAGGTCACATATTGTGCAAAATGCACTTTTTCATGGCTTTTAAACATAAATATGTGTCCTGGGTGTGACAGAAAAGACCACCCTCTCTTTTCTCCGGCTCCATCGATCAGAAAACGTGTGTAAAAACAAGCAGATCAGATTTGTCTCCTCTTCTGACGTCAGATGGGGTTTGTATGCCCGATCCATGGAGTCGCTGCTGAATCCACCGCAGTCCGTCATTGTGATTTCCTCGCTATCATGAACCTGCACACACTACACTACAAGTGCGCGAGTACAGAGCAAGATTCGCTTCACAACTTAAGCTCAGGATGGATCTGTACCTGCCGTCTGTGACCCAACTTCAAACTTGGAAGCTGTAAGTTTTAAATAGCAAGTGTAGTCGTCGCCTTTTGTGAAACTTTGCATTTCACAGCATAAATATGGCGGTAACTGTCCGACAAGTAAAAATGTTTCAAGTGAAAAGATCTAAGTTACTCTGTGAAAAATGAAAAAAAATCCCAGAGCACTTTTTATACATCAGTAAGTCCACCTTGAGTTAAGTGGACATGGTACAGGATAAAATAACTACGGTAAGTGGAACCGGTCTGACATTCATGATGATACATGGGACAGCTCCTACAGTAATCAATATACCATTACTTTGGTTACGCCTGTACGTTTATCCGGTGTCTTTTTACCAGAAATAAGAAACTGACTACTATTACGATCAAGGTTTTTTTGCTCCCAATCTTAGTCATTAAATATGGACTATCTGCTGGTACAGAGTCACAATCCAATGCATCTATTTTCCTAAAAAGTAAAGCTGATTAGTGCACACTACATTAAAGTTTTTAACATCCATTCAATGTACATGCTTGACAATTGAAAGGCTCTGCATTACATTAAGCAAAAAAAAAAAAAATGTTTGTATCCAAGCTGTTCCTTAATGTTTTTTACTTCCACTTTTTACAAAATGAAGTATAAAATCACAAACCTTCTCTGTAATCTTTTTGGACTTGTCGCTGTCTCTCTCCCTTTTAAAGTGTGCTCCAGTGTTTGTTGCTTCGGTGCAGCCTTTGTTGAATGAACTGTATACCGTTGATTGGTTTTTGTTTTTGTCTGTGCAGAATACATTGATAAATTACTCGTATTGGCTTTGTGCTCGCGGGGCTTTTGTTGCCCTTGAAGTGGCGTGGTGACTGTTTGTGGTCTCCATCTCTGTCTGTGGAGAAACACCATGCACCATAGATGACAGCAAAACGAGACTATCACACTGAACTAAAATGAAACAAGTGTACATAGATAAGGTAAATAACATAAATACACGGTCTCATATTGCATTTTGCTGTTTTCTTTTGCTGATGTGTGGTGTTTGAAGAAGGCCTAATCATGGCTGGAAATACAGACCACAGCAGAGAATCCCCGTATTGTCTCCACACACTAGAATCATCCATATTACAACAATGATGCAGGAGAATCAAAGTCAATACCAACCCTGTTCCCCTCAGGGAAAAATACTTACTTGCTTTCTTTCTGTGAGAGAGATCAGACGGGATTCTTGTGTCCTGGAGAGGTTGGAAGGAGGTATTGTTTCTGAAACCTTCAGTTTCAAATATAGAGGAATTAGATATTTATTCAGAGAGTGCAGTTGGTGACAGTGTGGGCTCCATATTAGCTCTGACAGCTTGATGGAGTAGCAGCAGTGGGGCGGAGCTTAGCGAAGGGTCAATTTGAGTCCCATACAGACTTTCTGTGTATGGAAGTTTTTTGGAAGCTTGACTCATCTTGCTCTCTTTCCTATGCCCTCTCCTCTCCTGCTCCCTAAGCTTGTACACTTTGCTTCCTCTTTTCTTCCTCCTCATCTGTCCCTCCCTGATGTCTCCTGTCCTCTTCTATCCCTATGTTTCATCCATGGCCCCTCACTGTCAGGTAAACAAACACTTAATATGAATTACAGCATCTTCTGAAATACAGGTCAGTAGTCAAATATGGCCAACCAACATTTAAAGAAAGAAGCTCCAACATGTCATTTTTACATTTGTGTATGGATTAAGCAAACAAGATACAATGTGATTATTGGTGAGCTTTTGAGCTGTTGCTAGGTGTATTTTATAATGGAGCCAGGCTGGAAGGTTTCCCCCTGCTTCCAGTCTTTATGCTAAGCTAAGCCAAACACATCCGTACTATTTATCCATACTTACCACAAGGACATGAGACTGTTATCAATCTACTTGTCTCACTTTCATGAAGAAATCAAATAAACGTGTCTTAATATTGGGGTGTAACGTACAGCATTGTGACTAAATGCGTCACAAAGTGGCTGACAAATAAGTGAGCAGCTTCAATATATTTCAAACAGCAACAGCACATATTACATAACAATAACAACAGCGACAAACATCAGGAGATACACAGTTCCATTCATGCGCACAAACGGTTCACACTCCACTACCTCTGCTTCTTTCCACATGGACTGTGTGTGACATAATTAAACCACATCTTAGTACCAGGAATCAGTGGTGGAGGAAGTACTCCGATCTTTTACTTAAAGAAAAACTCTTTCTCTCAAACACACACACTCATACACACAAATGCATGGGTTTCTGTGCGAAGAAATATGAATATGAAAACCAAATCCATACCCAATAAATGAATAGGTAGGTTTCCACTTGCACAGATATTTAGTCTTTGACCGTCAGAGTGAAGCACATTTACTCCCACTGAATAAATGCAGAAACACACTGAGCGATAGGTAGGCTACATTACACTGGAGTTGCTAGGCAACAGCCAGAATCCTGTGAGGACACTAATTCTCGCATGTTCCTGTAGAAAGTTAGAGATGGATCGTAATACAATCTGCGTGGAGAAGGCGAACACTAAATGTGGATGAGCTGTAAACTCCACAAAGAGAGAGCTGAATACATGAGCTGAGGCTCTGCACCATAACCTGAAGTGGATTATGAAATGATTCATTGAAAATGGGCTGTGTGGGTGCTCTATGGTTGATTACAGTACTTTGCCGCTTGTTTAAATAGCCTCAAATGTACCGATCTGAGCATGAGTGTATGTGGTGGGCATGTGTGCCTGACTATGTATGTTTGGTGAAACCCACTCAGTCCGCTCTTTTGATTTTGTTGCTAGGTTGCTGGTAATTTGGGTATCCATTTTTATATGGTGAAGAAGGTTGTTTTGACTGGACTGATTTAAAATTGAATGGTGATGTGACAGTTTTTATATAACCTGACACGGCAGATGGTTTGTTCACACAGAACCATCTGAGAAGCCGTCACTGGAATACCTGGCAGGTGATTGGACAAACCGTCTGTCAATCAAACTCTTACCAAAGCCAGTTGGAAGAAGAGCAAAAATATCCTTTGCGTCAAGAAAAGTCTTCAGTCCCATTCTTTGCTCTTCTTTCAATGAATAAATACTCTCCAGTTCTGATATAACTGATGGTATTGCCGCGTTTGTAACCTCTTTAGGAGCCGCCATTGTTGTTTTGAATGAACAGTTTCCTCTCCGTGTCGTGGCGTCACACGACACGCCTATACCACGCCCTTGCTGACAGTAGCTCCTTATCGGACGCTGATGACTTGAAGCCAGATGGATTTGTTGTGACAGAAACACTACCATTAAGTTGGGGCTGAAATGAAGAGAAGAGACGCAGTTCTTGGAGTAGCAACCGGCGGGAAGTTTTTTTATGCGCACACGGCAACATCCAACAAGTCCGATGTATTAGTTATTACAGCTCACTCTTGTAGTCTAACTTCAGCCCCTTATGTCACCTTCCACCAATTTCATTGTTCCTACTTAAACACCTCACCCCAATAATGTTCCTACAGTCCCATATTCTATAAAAATATTGACAGCAGGCTACGAGTGAAGGAGCCCACGTGACGTCCTGACAAAGTTAATGGCCGATTATTAATAGTGGCCTTGTTTCTGACGACAGAAGCTCAGCGAGCATGTTAAGACTTGTCAGTCACAGAAGCCCATAATTCTGCCTTCCCCTGAGTAGATACTCGCCTTATATTGCCCCAGCTTCCCTACTCAGGTCCTAAGATTGTGTGTCTGGAAATATGACCTCATTCTGCCAGCTCCCCCACAAGTGGTTCAGCTGAGCTGAGGAAGAATTTTATTAATTGATATCGATTTTTTTTCTTCCTCTGTTTGCAATTCAGTCTTCTTTTAAAAATAGTTATCAACGTGTATTGCGAGTCCCCCTGTGAACACATGTTGGTATGTTCTTACTGATCTGACAATACTCACTATATCCAGTATGTCTCAGGATTCAAGATGGTCTTGTTATACAACTGTGAAATGCTTTCGCTGGGAGACTCCAAGAAAGGAAGAAACATGTATATTAAAAGTCATACAAAATATAATAAAACAACATACGATGACACATCAGTCACTCAGCTAACCACTCTGTCTCGCCGCAATATATATCTGCCTCTCGGCCAGTGACAGCTGAGATGGGAAGATGAATGGATGGATGTCTACAAGAAATGATGAATTCCTCATTGCATCGATTTATTCATTTCTGTCAAGATTATTCTCAAACTGCTTTAGCAACATAACATTCTGTTAGTTTCTAGCCATCTCACTGCACATGTTCCTCTGCATTTTCTTCCATCCATCATTTTTCTTGTGTACCTTCTCTTTTCAGTCAAAATTCTGCAGTAATGTACATTGTTCTGTAGCACTAAGACTCCAGAGGTGTTTTCACGGTATCCACCTTACTCAAAGATGCCACCTGGTCGTTGTTGGAGAAAACAACAACTCCTTGGTGTTAAAATTAAAAAGTAAAATGCTGCGTGGGATCGTTACTGATTCTGGGGCAGAGTGGCAAAAGAATATGAGAGACAACTGTGATATTGCTTTATTATGGTGTGCAGAGTAGTTACAACCGTGTATTCTTGTTAATATAATTGATATTGTATAAATGTATTTCTAACCATGGTCTTGTCTGTGTGTCTGTCTCAGGTGGTTTATTTCCCAGGGGGGCAGATCAGGAGTACAGTGCATTCAGAATTGGCATGGTTCAGTTTGGGATGGCAGATTTCAGACTGACTCCACACATAGATAACCTGGAGGTGGCCAACAGCTTCGCTGTCACTAACTGCTGTAAGTATCTTTTTTTAAATCTTTGTCTGAACCCAGTTTGATAAACTCCAGATGTCATTATTGCAACAGAGTACCGTACAGAATACTGCAGGGTTTTTTGAAGCCGCTACCAATATCAATATCAATATTTGATCTGATGTTATTCTATATTTTATCTTATTGTCAACAAATCTCATGATGAGACTCAAACCAATATGTTATTGGCTTTGACGTCACAACTCTGTATGTGGCTCTCAGCCTCAAGTTCATCGGTTCTTAATGAAGATCTTCAAAAACACCTCAAAAATATAAATTTCCGATGGATTTTCACAGCGAAAACAGCACTGATAATCTTGATAATCTCTTTCTTAAAAAGAGACTGTTGTATATAAAGTATACATCGACATATGTCCTCAACACTCACCCGACCAAACAAGGCCTCCGACACTGCCACGCTGCATGTAGAGTGTGGGGACCACAGTGAGAGGGTCTCTTCCTGCCTGCCTATAGGCTATAGGACATGCACTCACAAAGCCCTTCCGCCAGGCATTTCTTGGATAGGGCTCCATCCCCGAAGCACACAAATAGCTGTTCAATGTATCTGATGGGGGCCATGAATTCAACATAACATGCTAATGCACACACTAGGCAAAGCAGATGTAACATTTTCTCCCATTTCCCTGCATGAGGTGACGGACAAAAAGCATCCGGCTGTATAACCCTCTTTTAACATCTAAGACATATCTTTACCCATCATCAGTAGAATACAGTGCATCAACTCTTGTTGTTTGTACACAATTGAGCACAGCATGTATGTGTGTTAGTGAAATGGACCCAAGCCACAGACCTTTGACATTTATTTGGTGACATAAATTTGAACAAAAAAACCCCCAAAATTTAGATTTTTAGATTTTTTTTAACTGGGGCAGTGTAGAGTCATGTTACTTTTCAAATTCAGTAACTGTGTAGCAAAGAGTAGCAATGAGAACGAGGACTCCATGCATGCAGTATACTGGAGTGTGATGTAATGGTGGCCTGAGGCTCGAAGCTCTGCTATTTAAGTACAGAGTATTGTGATAGCAGTGAATGCATGCAGTCCTCTCTTTCTGCTGTCTACACTCTTGTTTTGCACCTGCTACAAATACATAAAGATGTTTTGGGGGAACAGTTCTAATCAGGAATACCTGCACGTTACAGGTTAAACATTTTTAAAGGAAATAACATTTTCTACAGCAGCAACATAAAATGAGCTGCCAATGATGTACTTTGAAGCTTTAATGAAGCTAGGGACAAGACGGGAGGCTCTATTTTGGTGTCGGTGCATGGTGAGGAACACAACTTCATATTGACATTTTACTTGGGGGGCCACTGATGTTATTTTCTTGACTGAGCTGGTTCGGCATGTTGGTGTGTGTTGCTTTAGTGAAGAGGTAAAATGCTGAATGGACTTGTACTTCTATAGCTCTTTTCTGGTCTTCCGACCACTCAAAGCGCTTAATACTGCATGTCATTCACACCCATTCATACACTGGTGGCAGGGGTTACAATGCAAGGTGTCACCTGCCCATCAGGACTAATTAACCACAGTAGACAGTAGCTTTTGGGAGCAATTTGGTATTAGCAAGTGTCTTGCCCAAGACATATCTACATGGACCCGGGAATCGAACCGCCAATCCTGTGATTGAAGGACAGCAGCGTATTGCAATCTTGATGCCAAGAACGAGTGCGTCTTGTGCTGTCCACTGATGCTGGGCACAGTCGGGCCATAATCGCCCTTCGCTAAGTCCCGCCCCTCAAACGCAGCATCTGCCAGCTCCGGCCGGGGTCGACAGCTATCCAGCTCTGCTCCATAAACTCGCATGCAATAGTTTCAGAGTTTCTTCCTTTTCAGGCTGGTTTTGTGGAGTTTGAGCTAGTCATGGTTAAACATTGTACCTATAGGGCGAGTGTAATAGTGATACTCGTTACAGGAGGAGGTTGGAAGGACACATACGCTTCTACGTAAAAACCTGAGGAGCTGACGTTTGCATGAGCATGTTAACACATCATTAACATTAACAGGCACTTATATGCTATGCTAGCTACTGAAGGTATACTGAATACATACACAGGCTGTTTTTGCTTTTTAATGATTGTAACAGTGAATAAAGACCTCCCCGGCTTCACAGGAACAGTTTTGTTCCTTAATTTCATTGTCTTCTGTCTTAATGGCCAGGTCATGTGGTGGTTCACTTTCACCCTGTCATTTGTAGGCTTTAGCTTCTATTTTTCTCTTTTAACCTGTTTTCACTGCTGAATCAGTTTGACATCCTGGATAATGTCCTTCAAATGCATACTGTAGACCTTTCAGTTTGCTTCTCTCTGAAAATTTGATAATGTTTTTTCAGGTATTGCAGCTAGTGGGCGACTGTGGAGAGCAGGGCTGTCCTTCAATCAGAGGATCGGCGGTTCGATCCCCGGCTCCGCAGGTCGCATGTCGATGTGTCCTTGAGCAAAACACTTAACCCCAAAATTGCTCCCGTAGCTGTGCCTACGTGTATGAATGTGATAGAATCTGAATTGTAAGTCGCTTTGGATAAAAGTGTAAATGACTGTAATGTAGTGAAAGTGTGTGCTCCATGGTAGCTTGATGGAGTAGCAGCAGGGGGTGGGGCTTAGCGAAGGGCCAGATCCACTTATATGTACTTATGTGCACATCAAACTTTGTTTTTGATTGTTTTATACAGTTTCTACTTAAGTGTAAATGAGTGTTGGAGATGGACCCATGGAACACAGTTCACACAGTCCCATGACAAATTGTAGGTCAATTAAAATGTCTCTCTTCTCATAACTCCCTCAAGACCATCTGTTCCTACCAATTCTCTCTTGGTGTTTCCAATGAAAATCAATTGTTACTGGTGGTAATGACTGCGTGTGTTCTTCTCTTTGAGTCTGCCAAAGTGTTGCCTGGAGCATTAGAACTACAATATAGGTTGAGGTGATGGCTGTGATCACCATCAAGATGTGCTAGAGACAGTTCAGGTTGAATTGTTTTGTGGTGTTTCCAGAAACGTTGTTTAAAAAATTCAAGTTTCTTTTTGGATCACTACCAGCATCATTGCGGTGTAACTACTGTATAATATATGGACGTAGTCTCTGTGACGTCATCCATAGGTTACTGAAGAGCTGTAGGGAAGCTTAAAGTGTGGGTGGCTTCAGCCGTCGCAATCTTGGCAGTTACGGCACAGCCTAACTAGGCCACATTTTAAATTCTACTGCAGATGGTTACTCTGTAGATTATTGTTATGCCAACTATTGTGCACATAAAACATGATTACTGTCAGATCTTCAACTTATGCAGAAAAGTAAATTTAGTCATCACCTTTTCTTGACAGTATATTTGAGTTGCTGTATTTTCATTCACTATATAGTCATAATGTGGCAGGTCTCACAAAACAAGTTTCCCCTGAGGATAACTCTCCATGTGATTCCCAAACTGGTGGGGAGAGCCCTGTGATTTATGCAGATTAAAGTAGTGTGTTGGCCAAGATTGTCACATGTCCTTACACGCCTATCAACATATTTTGTATGATAATGTATTTCTTCCCAGCCCTTAATCAAGTGTGCCACAGGTGCCCCAAGGTGAGCCAGGCCACAACATTGTCATATGTGCATTGGCGCTCCTCCCATCGCACTGGGCAGGGCACACGTGACTGTAAGTTGTATGTGGCTAGTGTTGCTCATAAACAGAGACGCATTCCCTTATTTTCTTTTAAAAGGACAATACAAATCTGCCTTATTTTTTTTAAGCAATTCAGCAATGTGATAAAGAGTAATATACCAAGTAACATTATAGAAGTTAGAAGAAGTTAAATTTCTTATTACAATCAGTGGCAGTAATGTGTTGTTGCGGCAATTGCATTGATTTTTGCACTAGCACACTGGTGTAACACATTAGTATAGCTGCCACCAAACCGATGGTCAAAATAATTAAGTCATGCAGCCTTGAAAATAAACGCCCCCTTGCCTCCCACACACACACTCGCATTTGAAACTGGTCCAGTTCTGACAAAAGGCCTAATTCTTGAGCAAGTAGAACACTCTTTCAGTTATCCACCTCATAATTTCCTCTAATAATAACTATCCATAAACCTTAATCCTGTTTAAAACACACTATAAGGACCTTTTTCATTTTCTGAGCAGAGAACATAACTATATGCTCTACCACAGTACATAATGCACATGAATGCAATATTATACCCAGGGAGATGAAATTAGACTTTGTATTTCTAGAGGAAGAACAAGGTCATTGAAGTAGGACAACCATATATAGCTGTAGACAAAGGACTGTCTGTGTACACCCTTTAAATAAATAAAAAGCACATGTTCTGACATTACAGCAAATGTTAGCTCCCTTTGATAACATATAATAATATAATAAATAGCCATCTTTTTCATCAGAGATCGGTGAGAATCACTTATGACTTATGCTGGCATGCCTAAACAGCGTATTAACAATAGTGATAGAGCTGGGCAAAAATCCAAATAACCTGTATGCCATACTTTTTTCCAACTGATTATATTTGAGAGTTGCACATGTCAGACAATCATTTTTAGCCATGCTAGCTCAAAGGATGGCAATGTTGTCTCTGTCTGTTGGTGGGTCTACCACTTTTGTCCTCACTAAAATATTTCGGCAATTATTAGATGGATTGCCATGAAATTGTATGCAAACAATTCATATTCCACAGATGAATTATAATAACTCTGATACTTGGAATTTTCATCCAGCAGGTCAAAATTCAATTCAGTCCAACACTTTGGATTCTTATTCTGATCAAATACATGCAAAATGAATGACATCGGCCTCGGCTGTACTTTGTGTTTAGAACTAATTAGAAAATATGAGCATGCTAACGAGCTAAACTATACTGGTACACATTATACCTGCTAGACATCAAGCATCGTCATTGTGACAATGTTAGCATGCTGGTGTGAGTATTTAACTCCAAACAACGATGTGCCTAAATACAGTTTAAAAGCATGGCTGTCTATTTCTTTCAACGGGATAAATAAAGGACTTGTCGAGTTATATAATAAGGAACATTTAAGTGGTCCAAGGTGGCCAAACTGATCAAGAAAATTCCACATTTTCCTAGACTGGACTCCCAGTCAACAGTGACTTGACTTGCCTTAACTTGTGACTTTGTTTTCCAGCATCTCACCTCTGTAAGACCTCTGTTGTACTAGTAATTGCTTTATTTTATAATTTAATTATTTATTTTCTGGTCTTTTTTTATAGCCTTTTCCTATTGTTGTTTGTCTTGCATTACATAACCGTTGTTAGTATTTTTCTAGTATGATGTTGCTTTGTAATGTGCTTGTTTCCTTTGTTACCTTTTTGAAAAGATAGAAATTAAAAATTGGAAAAAAGGCATCAAAGATAATGAAAAGAGTGTCTGTCATGTGCGCAAAGACATGCTATGTTAAGTATGTTGATATGCATGGTGGTGTGTGGAGGGCAGTGTATGACAATGACAATATGATAGCTGAGCTGCAGCAAAAACAATTATCATTATTACTATACTCACTTTCACCTCTGTACTACCATCTCTATCACTACCTTATAATAATGACGATTATGATATTACTCAGTGGGTCTTGGGCCGTCCCACAACTCACAGAAGGAAGCTTGCCTGCTGCAAGTACAAATCTCTTTTCCCTTTTGAACTGCTCCCAGGCCCAGCTTGAAAAGCCCATCATCATCCTCTCCAATTTGCCAATCAGAGCACATCTTTGTGTACAATAATGACTTGGAGTTCCCCAAGATTCCCTTCTCGGGCCTCTTCTGTTCAACCTCTACGTCCTCCCGCAAAATCAGATTATGAAAAAAATATATAATTTTAAAAATTTAAGGTTTAGCAGGTACGTATTATGAGGGTGTGGAGCACAAGGACAGAATTCCTTTTTCACTGCTTATGATTTTATCTAAATCCTGCCAGCTCCCTGTGTCTGACTTTAATCCTCTCCGTTTGTTTGTCTCCGTTTAATGTTTTATTGAAATGTTTCTCTCTCTGTCTCTCCTAGTTTGTTCCCAGTTCTCTCGAGGTGTCTACGCCATTTTTGGCTTCTACGACAAGAAGTCAGTAAACACCATCACGTCCTTCTGTGAGACACTACATGTCTCCTTCATCACACCGTCTTTCCCAGCAGAAGGAATGAATCAGTTTGTTCTCCAGATGAGGCCAGACATCAAGGGGCCGCTAGTTTCACTAGTTGAGTACTACAAATGGGAAAAGTTTGCCTATCTCTACGACAGTGATCGAGGTAATGGAAGTCTCATTGTTTATCATATAGAGCATTGTGGTTTTAGTGCTGTTGCTTAAAGCTATACAATTATCTTAGTCTATACATTGTTTGGTGTTTTAGGAAATTCTTACACAGAATAACTTCTAACACAATTGCAATTAAAAGGACCCCTTGATATTGTTTTTGAAAGAACCAAGATGGATGCTGAGTGGAACTGACTGATAATTACTGGGTTGTATTTGTGATTTAGCTGCAAAAAAATGTGTTGAATCGTTTGTGTGTGTTTGTGTGTGCAGGTCTTTCTACTCTTCAGGTAATACTGGACACTGCAGCAGAGAAGAAATGGGTTGTCACAGCAATCAATGTAGGAAACCTCAAAGATGAGAGGAAGGATGAAGCCTACCGCTCTCTGTTTCAGGTACTGATATTCTGTTCATGCAAAGCACTGCACACTGTTGGTACTCACACCACACATTCGTAAAACACCAAGATAAACAGGGGAAACATTCAAACTACTCTGAGAGATTTTTTGGGATGTGTTTCAAATTTGGTTGGTATAATCCTCGAACTAATGTGAAGCTAAATTGCGAAGGAATAGTCCATACCTCGAACAATGATGTCATGTGACAATTTGCCATTATGGGCTCTTTACAGGTATGGAACCTTTCAGAAATCCTAGAAGGATTTTTGGGGGATTATTGCTCTCATCTTTATGAACACATATGATTATCCCCTGAGAGAAAGTCCCCCATGTTGGATTTTGTACGTTGGTGCACAGAGGTGCAAGGGCCTGTTCATCTCTGCTTGCAGGTTTAATTAACTTTTAGGTTCTGTGAAAATGTACTTAGAGACAGTTGCCAGACACTTACACAGTTGTTAATTAACTTCTAAAGAACCTGAACCAGTCACATTACATAGAAAGCTGAAGATATCGAGATGGGTGGAGATAATGAGCAATCAGTTGTTGATTTCGAGAGGACATTTATTAGATACAATTTGGTTTATTATTAGAAAGTTTAGTCATGTTCAGGTGACCTGTTGTGCTCTACGTAAAACAATTGGGTACGTTAGAAAACAATTTGAGTTGACTAATTGATCATTTACAAATTGAACAGTCTCCATTTGACATACAATCTGTACCAGATGACACCGTCCTTTCCAAGAACCTTCTTCAGAAATAACAGCTACATGTCAGTTCCTTAATTAGCAATATACTGTGTTACCGATACATTGTGCTGTGGGGTGAAGGATTTTTTCAGTTATTGGTTTCTGTGATTTTGGGGAGGTCTACATTGGTGCAGTTACCCAATTTAAGTGACAAAAATAGCACTAAAAACTCAGGCACAGCTTCCAAAGTTTGTTATTGACCTGGCCTGCGGTGGCAGGCAGCATGTAGCGGGATGACTCACTCTCTACTGCACCGCTCCTCCGACTGCCAGCCAAAACCTCACTACGCCTCAGGGAAATACCACTTGGTGTTTTCAGAGCTTTCTTCCATGCTGCAGGCCTGCACAACATGAAATTTAATACCTATCTGTTTTTTAGGACCTGGAGATCCGTAAGGAGCGACGCATAATCCTGGACTGTGAACAAGACAAAGTCAAAGACATCATGGAGCAGGTTGATTCCAGTCTTTTCACTACTACTATTATAAGTAATAATATCCATCCGTCAACAAGAAATCTTCTTCTACCCTTTCAACGTCCTATCGATTCATCCTCTGGAGTTTATTATATCTCTGGAATGGAATGTACTTTTGTACTTTATAGGAAGATACGAATAGGGTTGGGTTCTCATTGCTGATCATTTTATTTATTATTTTTTTATTTATATAAATTTTTTATTTTCATGACAGTTTTACAGTAATATAGTATTGACACAGGTTCTACTCTCTTCCCATCAGGTGATCACTATAGGCCGCCATGTGAAGGGATACCACTATATCATCGCTAACTTGGTGAGTATCCGTCTGCCTCTGATTCGACTATATATACTATTATATATTGGTGCTTCTGTAGCTGATCTGCCTCCAGTACGGGGGGCACAAACTTGCGGCTAAGCATGATCTTTCTTGTTCCAGGGTTTTGTAGATGGCGACCTCTCTAAAATCCAGTATGGAGGTGCGAATGTGTCTGGGTTCCAGATAGTAGATTTTGATGATCCTGTGGTGGCAAAGTTTGACCAGCGATGGGAGGCCCTTGAAGAGAAGGAGTATCCTGGAGCTGATGCACGGATCAGAGTAAGATTTGGACGTTCATCATCAGTTCATAGGCTGGTTTGAATTAGTTTAAATTATTTAAGGAAAGAAAGATGCTGGGTAAGGAGGATTTAGATTATCTGGAGACAGTCCAAGGATACAGTAGCATAATCATGCTAACATTGCTTTTAAAGATCGAACTCTTCATATATCATAAGTATATACGATTTTGTCATAAAGCTCTTAGTGAGGTTTGCTGTACAATTCTAGATGTTTTAGACATGATATGAACCACTTGTTTGGCCATATTATTGTGCCGCTGAATGACCAACACGAGCACCACTCAGACCACTTGCTATTTTCCTGTGTGAAAAGTATTTTGGTGACCAGTGCCGAGCACACAATACACAGGTGGGAGGAGAGGCACAAACATGTGGAAGGTTGATTCACATTAAGCAGCGCTTTGATGATTTGATCAGCATGCGCAAACTAGATAGCAATAATAGAATGGTGCTTGAAATGCACATAAATAAGGCTGGGTGATTCAATTTATTCATTTATCATCTTTAATGGAATCATATTGTAAAAAAAATGATATATCAAAATATAGTGATAAGACAATTACATCGTCTATATTGATCATAATGTACTCTCTCGAATTTCTCAGAAAATTGACAACAATTGTTCTTATGGGAATACCACAGTGCAGTTAAATCAAACTATTGTCTGAATCTGATTACTCTGTATTTGTGTGCATGCATGTAAACATAGTTTACTGTCATTTTTATTGAAACTGTTGTGTTAATTTTGCCCTAAAGCTCTTAAAGAGCTGAGCTCTTTCTCAAATATTAATCTTCAGGTTCCCAGCTATGTGGCATCTACTATTGACGAGCTATCTCCAACCGAAAGATCCCGTCACTCCTAAAAAAAGACTAAAATTGATCTATGGTAAAGAGTGGTGGTGTGGAAGAGGTTAACATCCTTTATGTTTGGAAAATGCATGATCTTGACTTGAATTGTGTGGGTTGGACTTTTGCTGGCAACTCATTGTTTTGTAATATTGAGTTGCCATAGAGACAGATGCAGTTTCTCAGGTCATAGTACTCACAGTGGACGATGGCTTTCAAAATGTTAACCAAATGTCGCCATATTCCACACAGTCTCACCGCAGGCAGCATGTTATAGAGGTAATAGTGATTTTTTGCCAATGTTTCTGTGTCTTTCAGTATACCTCAGCCCTCACCTATGATGCTGTCCATGTGATGACGGAGGCGTTCCGCTTCCTTCACAAGCAGAGAATAGACATGAGTCGCCGTGGCAACAGTGGAGACTGTCTGGCCAATCCAGCGGTTCCCTGGGCACAGGGGGTGGAGATTGAACGTGCCCTCAAACAGGTAACCATGGATTAGAATGAATATAAACCACAGTTGCACCCCCTCTAGACTACAAGCATATCAGCCCCATTTTTTGGGGACTGGTCCTTTTAAGTAGACAGTGTAAACAAAACTTGTATGTCTCCGTTTGAGTATAACCGAGGCTTAAGTAGTAATAGTGGTGAGCCATTATGCTGCAGACTATGGGTTAAGACACTGAAAACAGGGAGTGCTTTGAAAATGATTCTGTGTCTTGATTGCTGGTGGAAAGCTCAGATGTCCAGGATGTAAGGCTGCGTTCAGCAGCCCTCTCACTCATTTTAATGGGGCCGCTGCATTGGCGCAGCAGGGCTGCCCGTGCAGAGGGCTGCAGGGGAAAGAAAGGCAGGGTCATCCAAAGCAAAAAACCTGGTTCAGCATCTTCTGGCAAGGCACTGTGGTGGACAATCAAATAGATGCAAGTTCACATTCCTGGTAGATTACTTAGTAATGTGACCACGTTAGAACAAAGGATGAATTGACTGTAGCCGTGATAACTTTCCAGAGTTGTAAAATCTTGTCTCATAGCGTTATAAACAGCTGTACAGTGCTTTGGTGTCTGATAAACCAAAAGGGCACTTTTTATACATAAAATATGTTTCTTATTTTTCTTTAAATTCATTGAGATGCAGGGAGTGATTTATATAGTAAAACTCATCTTGAACATGTGTGTGAACTTCAATGAAATCTAGAATGTGTGTGTATTTGTGTATTTGTGTGTAGGTGCGTGTTGATGGTTTAACAGGGACGATTCAGTTTGACCAGTACGGAAAGAGAATCAACTACTCGGTGACAGTCATGGAACTGAAGCCCACTGGACCTGTTAAGGTAACTGAAGAATCAATTTGGCATCATGACTATAATTCTAGCATAGCTATGTGATATGTAACCTATATGTGTGTGTGTGTGTGTGTGTGCGTGTGTGTGTGTGTGTGTGTGTGTGTGTGTGTGTGTGTGTGTGTGTGTGTGTGTGTGTTTTTAGATTGGCTATTGGAATGAGGTGGATAAAATGGTAGTGACAAAGTCAGACATTTACCCCAACGACAGCATGGGAATGGAAAACAAGACAGTTATCGTCTCAACTATACTGGTAATAAACACACGAATGACACTCAATGTGAATGTGTGGGCCAAGTGAAAAAAACACCCAAAAATGTAACAGTCAAGGTGGAAATAACCAAATGTACACAAGCTCAAACATGAGCCTAACTAGGCCTCTAAAGTTCAGTGTATTCACGATGTATTCTGTGAAGGTGTAGTCAAAGATAAATCACCACTACGATGGATAATAAAGTTGTATTTTATTTTTGTGTCCTAAATTACCAAGTAAGTGCTGGAACAGAAAAGGACAAAAGCTTGGGATTTATAAATGGAAAGACAGTATTTTCTGTATTTTCTGCATTCAATATGACAAAAGAGAGTGAGTTAACATTAGTGATATGGAAAATGCATCATAATACAATAAAGCATGTCATTATCACACATAGGAATAACTCTGCATGTGCTTGTGCGTGTGTGCGCACATGTAGGAAGCCCCCTATGTGATGATGAAGAAGAATTCTGAGCTGTTTGAAGACAATGACCGCTACGAAGGTATGTTTATATATACTCTATTGTGGATATGTGTTTATTTCTGAAATACCTAATTTCATTCACTTTTGTTTACCTGTTTATTGAGTTGTTAAAGCTACAGAAAAGGGGCTCTACACTCACATTTTTCCAGACCTTTATACTGGGCTCTCCCTAAAAAACACACAATGGTACTTCCACAATCTAACATAGCACCATCTATGTGCTGTGTGTTTTCATACAGTTCTTGCATAGTTAGGAATATAATGGTAATATACAATTTTTAAATTGTTGGATGTCATCATGCATGTCACCATTATCCCCAAGAAGTCTTGGATGGGACCAAGACTTGAACTCAGATTAACTTATTATGAAGTATTCAACACTGTAGTCTGTATTCTAGGACACTTGTCAAGCACTTCCGTCTGTGCATATGTGTGTGTGTGTCTTTTTTACTTATATTTTAACCGATGCTAGGTTACTGCGTTGACCTGGCTGCCGAGATTGCAAAGCACTGTGGTATCCGCTACCAGTTAAGAATTGTGGGAGATGGCAAATATGGAGCAAGAGATGCAGAAACCAAGATCTGGAATGGTATGGTTGGAGAGCTGGTGTATGGGGTAAGATTTATGTATTTATGCATCAAATGTTCTAATGTTTAATGAACATTCAGTTTTTCTAATGTTGAAAGCAGCAGTGAGGGTTCATGTTGCTTCATGTCACCTGTTTCCATTGAAAATAACTCTCTCACTCGATCTTTGTCTTCCCAACAGAAAGCAGATATAGCCGTTGCTCCTCTGACGATCACTCTTGTTCGTGAAGAGGTGATAGATTTCTCCAAACCCTTCATGTCTTTGGGAATCTCCATCATGATTAAGAAGCCGCAGAAATCTAAACCAGGAGTCTTCTCCTTTCTGGACCCACTGGCCTATGAAATCTGGATGTGCATTGTCTTTGCCTATATTGGAGTTAGTGTTGTACTCTTTCTGGTAAGTCGGTCTGTTTTGTAGAGATGTGTTTTGTTACCACCAGAACTGTCCGGTACTCTGCTGTCACCACGGCTGTCAGAGGTTCTTAATTTCTGTGTTGTGTGCATGAGTATTCTGCTGGGAATGTTCTATTGAAGCTTAAGAATAAGATTCAGAATCCAGTAATCCGTATAACGTATTGCTTACAAATTGAGTGTATGTGTTCCATAACATGGAGGTGAAATTGATGAAATCGTGTTAAAATGTTGCTGAACTGCTTAGACAATCTGTAAGAGCCTGCATTTCATCTACAGCCCCAATTTCTGATTTTGATGCAGATCCATAAACAAGACTCCTAAAATCTAACAGTGCTAAATCCAACTTGTATTGCATTGACAATGTAAGCGGCTCTTCATAGGTTTGCCTAACTGGGTTTTATAAGAAAAGATGGAACGCAGTAAGAGAATCCAGTTCCACATCAGCCAAAACGCTTTATTTCTCGTTTTACTCCCTCTCTTCCCCTCTGGAGCTCTCTGTCCTGCCCATTTTCTTACAGCAACCCCGAGGGATACAATTAACGTGGACGAACATAAAATCTGTTACAGTAATAAACAATATGACAGCATAATTAACATAATATTATGTTAATATATTATATTACCACTAGTGTCTAACAGGCTGTGCGCAATTTACTGCCGAGCCGAGACCGTCAACATGAAGGAGACCAATGTTCAGTAGAGGTGTGTGATTGTATGTAGGTACAGCTCAAAGTGGAAAATCAAAGCTTTGAATTATTATTTTTTTCTTGTAGGTATCCAGATTCAGCCCCTATGAGTGGACGCTAGAGGAGCCAGAGGATGGAGCGATGCCACTGACAACTGAATCCAACAATGAGTTTGGGATCTTTAACTCCCTTTGGTTCTCTTTGGGTGCTTTCATGCGGCAGGGTTGCGACATCTCACCAAGGTTGGTGTGGCAGTTAAAGTTAAAGGCTTTTCTTCAAATAATGTGTCTGTACTGATTAATATACATGGCAGAGGACCAGTCTGATCAAACTGCCAACTATGACCATGTGCACCTCTGGTCTGTCAACTTGTCTTCAGTTTTGACAAGACACCTGTTCTTATCTGCATTTGTTCAAAGCTGAAGAGCCAAAACATAAAAAATCTGTTTATTGAAACCAAAAGAAGAGGTGTTATTTTTACATATAAACAACTTATGTGCTGCCTTCAGGTGCAAATCCGTCTTCTGTGAATGATGTTTATATGCAGCTATTTTGTATTTTAAAATACACTTTGGATGACGTGTTCTAAACATTACATTCACTGACAACATCTTCCAGTGCAGGGAATACAATGTTATTATAACCTGCAGAGGTCATACCCCAATGACTTTGACACCAGGACTGTGATCCACATTGTATGTCATGTTCAAGTCATTGTCAGTGTTCAAAGTGAGCTGGTACTCACCAGTTTTGATTTAAAAAATATAATTTTACAGGGAAAACATCTCCATCAGAATGAAATGTTCAGACAAAGGCTGTGATATTTGTAAATAATACAATTAATGTTTAACTAAAAGCAAATTTTGTCTTTAAGCTTTTTGGACATTTGGACAAAACAAGACCGCAAACTTTCTGTAACCTCAACCGAATGTTTTAGTTCCACAACTATACTGTTTTTTTTACCATGACCAGGATGTTTCCTTGACCTACACAAAGTTATTTGAGTTGCTTAAACAAAATTGTAGAAACAATCGTAACCCTTTTTATTTTTTTTTATTGTTCCAAAACAAAAATCAAGAGTAACAAGAGGAAGACGGGAACAGTGAATACAGACCAGATAACATGCAGAAAAAAATGAATCAATAATGTAGAATAAGAGAACAAGGTAATGTTGGTTGGAGATGGGTGTGTGTCATAGTATAGGGTGACGTCTATAGGGTAGATGGATGTGAAAGTAAATAAATCGAATTTGAATAAATAAATAAAATAGAAATAAACTAAAAATAATAAAATCATCAACTCTGTACTCAACATCCTCCCAGCGCGCCCAAGAGTTTCTCATCTGAGTGCTGGAGTCATGAGACTGTAATAACACAACATAAGTGTAAAACAGCATACTTTGGTCTGTTTGTGTGTGCAGATCTCTGTCAGGTCGTATAGTTGGGGGTGTGTGGTGGTTTTTCACCCTGATTATCATCTCATCATACACTGCCAACCTGGCTGCCTTCCTGACGGTAGAGAGGATGGTGTCTCCCATCGAGAGCGCAGAAGACCTGGCTAAACAGACAGAGATCGCATATGGAACCCTGGACTCTGGATCCACCAAAGAATTCTTCAGAGTAAATACAAATACAAATGTATTATTTCACAATGCAACAGAAGATACTACAATGGCTACACAAAAGTGTGTGAGTAGGTTTGCGATGGGCATTTCTGCAAACGATTGCCGCTATTCCGCCAATCAGTATTCGGTTGTGGTAACACGCCAAGGCAGGAAATAGAAAGACTGACGGAAACATTGATTTGAAATATTCTTAAAGTTGTCTTTGTAAATGTTTTATAAGGAGATGCACTCACCACGTTTATTAGGGCCTATCTTGAAGTACCCTGTGGTCAATTATATTACCGTGTACTTAAAAGTACCCAAGTTGCACAAATTAAGTTGTTGGATCTCATCTATGTCTGTCTCTCTCTTTTTTAGCGCTCAAAAATTGCCTTGTTTGACAAGATGTGGCAGTACATGAAATCAGCAGAGCCCTCTCCTTTCGTCAAGAAAACGTCGGAGGGAGTCTTGCGTGTCAGAAAATCCAAAGGGAAGTACGCCTACCTGCTGGAGTCCACCATGAACGAGTACATCGAGCAGAGGAAACCTTGCGACACTATGAAAGTGGGAGGAAACCTGGACTCCAAAGGCTACGGCATCGCCACGCCCAAAGGATCTCCATTAAGGTGGGTGGATCAGTATAACAATGCTAGCCAACCTGCACTGCCATGTACCATTCACACTACTAACCTGCTGCCTAGTAAATGTCCCTCTCCCCACTCACAGCTCATTTCCCCATTCTCAAAACTTCAAAAGAGACATTTTTAATAGTCAACTTACAGTTGAAAGTGGATTCAAAATTTCCCTCACTTAGTGCTCTGAAGCCTCAACAGTAATGATCAGAATACACTTGCTGACCACCTGCTTTACTAGTCAGGTGGTTTTAGCCAGTGTGTGAGCTGTGGCTGTGCTTATGTGCAGCTCTGCTCAGGAAAATAAACCACCAATGGGGAGCAATGTAGTCTGGTCCCAAGCCTTAGTGCCAATTGGGTGTTGCAGTATGCGAGTGTGATGAATGGGGCATGGCGGCTTACTCGTTGTTATAATAATCCACCTACCCTGATGACATCATCTCAGTGGTTTGTATTTTTACCATGGTTACCACCTCTGACCAATGGCTAGTGGTGGTTGCCGTGACAACTGGGGGAGGGGCTGTTGAAAGTGTGACATTTCAGGTCTTAAAGAAATACTTCATCACAGAAATTCAAAAGGATGTATTTTAATGAGTGTAAAGTTGGTATTATGTAGTCTCTTTTTGTGAAAAGGGATATCATGATACAATGACCAATGTTCAAATTTCATTATCCATTTCTATTAAGACTGATTTAATTTTCTTTCTAGTGAGGAGAATTTGGCTGCAGGTTTTTTAACAATTATGATGAGCTGACTCTTTAAGACCTGGATCACGAGATTCTATGAGTTTATAACATTATGTTTCTGTGTGTGTGTGAGTGTGTGTGTGTCTGTGTTTGTCTATGTGTATGTCTACATTTATTTTCCATTAGAAAATGTTCTATGTCTCCTTCCAAAATAACTATTGGACCATGTTTTATTTCTATATTATAGGTACATATTTTATACTGATAAAATATATTTATGTAATTTATCCAACCCCTCAGATGTCCTGTTTTATTGTAGTTTGAAACCCAGACATTCTATCTTTGGTTACTGCTTTCTCTCAGCATTCAAAGTAGCAGGTTTTTAAGTGGTTTGGTAGCAGGAAAAAGGGTGGTTTTATTTCAAATTGGAAAGTGATTGCACAGCACTCGTATGTAAAAGTAGCTTCTTAGAAAGGTTCCTAGAAAAGTTGTTTGGTACAAATTAAAAGGAAAAAGAAGATGGTGTTCAATTGCTTAGAATTTTAGATTCCATTTATAACATTTATAATTAATCCATTCCATTGAACTGTAATTCTTTATCTTTATCTTTATCACTGCGCCTCAAGGGAGAGGTGTTTGAAAAGGCTTGAAAGCATCAGTGGCTGTCCCTAAGGGCCCTTGCATTTGCTGCCCAATAATAATGAAGGAAAGCCGAGCTCTGACTTTAGCTCGTCGCCTGAGCTATAGCCATTCTGTGGCTATGTCTGTAGCTATTGTTGTGATTGGGATGGGTTGACTGCTAAGATAGTAACTTTGGCTAAGACAGGGATAGACAGCATACAGTCTGACACTTTTTGAATGTGGCACTTCTATCAGAGATAACAGATGTGTTGCCAGTACACCAAAGGAGTACAGGAATAGCTTCAGCCAACACAACTATGTCAATTCACACCAGTAAGTAGGATAGCTAATGTACACAATAGCCTGTCACAATCAGCTTCAGCTTAACCATGTTAATTAGCCTCTACTATTTATCATAGTATATTTATCATATCTTAGCTGCACTCAACAATAAGCAAAACATAAAATAACACTAGCCTTATACCTTTTATTAACTGTGTAAATTGTAGGTTTTAAATTGTATTTTAATAAGTATCAAACCTCTAAATGTTACAAACCCTTCAGATGTTTTCACAGTTGAAAACACAGTTTCCTGTCCAAACCATATATAGTGACATCTTTTTTTTGGTTCTTTACTCCAGAATATTGGATTTAATATCAATATATCACTATGGACTTAAAGTTACATCCTCATCAGATGAACAGTGAAGGAAATATACCCCCCTTTTATACACAAAATGTATTGGACAAATTAACATACAAGTAATTAAATGTACGTTATTTTATAGCTTTAAATTGGATGCAGTCAATACCAGCCTGAATTCTGCCTGAATTTTACTAAGAAAAATATTCCCTCTTTGTTTAGCTTTTACGTGTTAATGATGTATTTTAAAAAAAACTGCATAACCTACACTGTTGACTCGCGTGTGGATGTAAACTGAAGGCCACCACTTTAACCTCACACGTTTCAATTTGAATCCAATATTCTGGAGTACAGAGACAGCCAAATGTAAAATGTGTCATGGTCTTGCTGCTTACAGACTACATCAAACTTCATTTTTTATATCTTAATGTAAATGATGATCCAGATACGTGCATGTGTGTGTGTGTGTGTGTGTGTGTGTGTGTTGAGCTGCATGCTAGTCATTGAGTTTGTTTCTCACTTTTGTGTCTTTTCAGCATACTACAGGTGGCTATATGGTTACGTCTGCCCTACATTCTCTCTCTTCTCTGTCTCTTTGTGTTGCTGTCTTTGTCAGTCGGCTCTGAAAGTTAATTTTTCTCTGCAGAATGTTTTCAGTGACAATTACAGTTACTTGTATTTGGTGAATTTGCTGTTAAAGCTGCATTAAGCGATTTCTCAACCTGAAAGGGCAGGAGTAACTCATAGTAATAAGTCTTATACAGTATACTCCAGTATTTTCACTTATCAAGTTTATAGTTGATCTGTTAGCTTGAACTTCCCAAAGGAGTTCTCTTTATTAATGCACTGAGACAGTAGTTAGCTGCTGGGCCCCTACTGACCACGGTTCCTATCCTTCCCAGTGCAATATGTATCATATTTCTCTGCTGGAATACAGATTTTAAAACAGGACCAATCTTCAAGACAGTATATCAAAATCAGGCTATAAAGCAGCACCCACCTGAAGATCCTTATTAAGTCAAGTGATGGTCAGTGCTTCAGTATTGCATAATGCTTTTTACATTATGCTGCCTTCACTGTGCACAGGCTGCTCATTAGGTGTCAAACTAAAGTCCAGGAGATCTGTGACACTGGCATCACTCGATGCCACACAGACATCTCCTAACCCTCCAAAGACAAGAGGAGGATGCCCTCTGAGATGGGTCTTAATAAGATCTTCACATTTCCTTGCTGTTTCACCTTGACTTCCACCTTTTGTACGATCCCATCTTTGCCGGGATGAGTTTTGACAATGACACCCATAGACAATTTGTATCTTCTTGCCTGGTTGTCCTTCATCAGAGCAATGGCTCCTTGTTCAGATTAGGTATTTTGATTATTGGACTCTGGAACTCTCTATTCCATAGAATGTGTCCTCCAAAGTTTGAACTCTCTTCCATTGACTCTTGGAACAGGTCTCCTTTGGTGCAGTCTACTGGAGTGTGTGTGGGAGACACGATCTTCTGAATTAGGAGCATTGAAGGTGTTAAGATGAGGGGTAACCCAAGATCGTATGAAACAGGAACCATGGGTCCTAGCCATCAGAGCTTATAATTATGACCTTGTGCGTTAGAGGAGAATGCCCAATCTCTAGAGGCATCTAGGATGCGCCGTGCAATTCCTCTCATGCATTCCCAAGCACCACCAAGGGCGATGAAAGCTCAAGAAAGTAGCTCACGATGCTTGCCTGACCTTGGAGTATATACTGTAGACTTGCTCGCCCCTACAAAGTTGGTTATCAGTCATAGCGCAACTGCTTGGCAAGCCCACTTATTGAGAAGAATTTTTAGATTGCATTAATGAAGCTGGATGAGCTCATTGTTTCAATTACTTCAATATGGATAGCTCTAGTAGACATGCATATGCCCACCTCTTGCTATTGTCATGATTTTCTCTTGTGCGGCGTGCGACTACCTCTCATGTACCAAACACATCCGGGACAACGTAGGAGAGTGATGGATCTGTCTGTACACATTCTGACATGTGCTCCTGCTCTGTTCTTTCACAAAGTTTCACAAAGGGATGGTGCCCTCAGTAAGGTGTCTTCCTTGGTGCCACATGATGATAGTGGCGAATGAACAATGTTGCAACATGATGCTGTACTGGGATAATGAGAGGGTTGGCATTGCTCTTCTGAAGGTTCGACTGAGTAAGACGACCACCTACTTGCAGTAAGCCTTCACCGTCAATAAGCTGGTGAAGCTTGTAAAGAGCACTGTTTTTAGTTAGCTTAAAGCACTTTGAGATTGTTTCACTCTCTTAGCATCCTAGCTTGAGTGGCGAGGACTAATTTTTGAATGCACCTCCAAATCTGACTTGGGTACAATAAGGTTGAAGGATGAGGCTCTCGTTAGGGTTGAGAAGCCAGTTTAGCCTTATCAAACACAACGCCTACCTCACTGGGACCAATTTTTGCTCTGAGCTTCAGGTAATCAACTGAAACTATTGCCTTGACTGAAGCATCCGAGATCACATGCATTTCTAAGTTCTGGGTCTTTGAGCTTGAGGAGGATGAGTAGGAGCGTGGAACATGCTACTCTTTCAGTTCTTCTTGAAGTGTCTCATATCACTACCAAAGTCCTTTTCCTTGACTCTTGAATTCTTGTTCAGTCTGAACATAGCTACTGCTGGGGATGGCCTGTTTACGAAGACATGGACTCTCATGCTGTAGTCAACAACTACAGCATGTAAACAGAAAGTACAAGAAATAAATGGAAACAGTGGAACATTTGTCATGTGTCAGCCATGTTGGCCACTCTTTCTCAACACCATCATATTGTGCACTAGATTCGAATAAACCAATCTTTCCTGGTTTCTGGGGATGGCATACTCCAAATATGGGAAGATACCAACATCCTTTTTTGTCCTTCATGTGGTGGTGCTCTCCCTGCATGGTTGCGGCCCAATACATTTTACATGAACTCCACTCTAAGTGTGTTTTCATTTCTGGTTTCTTTTCTAGATTGTGCCTCCAATCTACTGTAGGATTACTATGTTATTTGGA